TAAGGGACGCCTGTCAAGATGCGCAGCAGTGCAGTTGACCTACGACTATTCCAATCCTGGCAGCAAGTCTTATGAGCTCTGCTGCATAGGTATTTGAATATGGTGTGGAGGGTCCTGAAATTGGAGAGGGGCTCTTGAGAATGGTGGGGCAATAAAGATTTTGCCTGCTCATCCTCTGAAGGATTTTTAAAGAGCGAGAGTGAGAGAGGAAGAATGACTAAGAGTTCTGAAATAGTGATCTCTAGAGGTATTCATTAGGTCCTTTAGAGTAATCTGCTTAGGAGGTTGTGACATCTCCTGTATTCATTTACGAGCTTCTTTTTCTCATATGTAGAATAGAAAGCCCGTATTTTCGGAAGTTTCTATTTGAGTAGGATATGCAGTAGGACACTTGGTATCATAGCCATGTCGTGGGGTAGGAAAAGGTAGGTAGATAGGTAGAGAGCCTTGGTAATAAAAAGATCTAACAATATACCGTTAGGTGAAAACAACCCGATAAACTTCAGAGTTATCTAGGCCAACCATAATTCATTTCTGTAGACAGAGATTGTCTAGGAAGGATCAGGCTTTGCTCGTTTCATTTATAACTACTAAGAGTGAATTAAAAAATATATAATGTAGAACTGAATTGTATAGACTATATTATATTATTAAGGTCTCTTCTCAGTTGCTTGATGAGGTCTGAAGCTTGGAAGGCGCTTCGATATTTATATTCTGTGTCTGAGTGTTTGCAGACTACATCTATTTATTACACAACTATGTACCTCTCTGATTATAACTCGCAACATCGGGTATTCTTAAAAGGTGCGAACATCTGGAGACCCTGAAAATCACCACACCCTCTTTAGAAATTACGATATAACTAACTAGGAACCGTACTATTCCCAACAGTAGTTATTCCATCATTAGAGTCTTTAGACTTGTGGCTTAGTCCTCAAGTCAAACTGAGTTGACCCCAATTATTTCCGTCATTGATGAAATAATCAATTTTATCTGCACGTTGTATCTATAAAGGTAGTCATAATCGCAATCTTTCTAGGTCACCTGACTTCAAACGTTTATAACTTCTTACCCAACAGATAAATATCTTGTGAAGGACTTCCTACTAAGTTGCAGGAAGCTATTTCACTTGATTGACAAATATTCCCTTTTTCGGCAACTGTTGGTTGCTCTGTATAACAGGGTTTCAATCACTGTGTTAGTGTTGAGAGTTATCCCCACACCTCCAATGTTTTCCGAAACCTAGTTGTAACACTCCGTAAAGTCCATTAGCTTATATGGTAGTATCTCTCAGAGTTCTAGACTCTTCTGGTTATTGTCGAGTGGATGCGAATTTATTGATCTATCATTGAGATCCTTTATCATTCAATACCATCTCTTCATGTGAAAATGTCCTGTTACTTACAGTCCATGCCAAAGACAGTACATCTTTGAAGCCTAATAACACTCTAAGTAGTTGACAGATTCACTCCATTCTACTTCACAGAACTAGCCTAAGGTCCCCTCTCATATACCCTGTAAACAGGATCTGGTCTGACAGACAGTAGCAATATATTGGGTATTATTCTGACTCCTTCAATTCTGTGGCATTATAGTCACAGGATGCAATTGAGATTAATGTATATAATGATGTGTGAGCCTGGTAAGGGGGCCGGTGGGGGGTATTAGAAACCAGGAATTCCGATTCCGAGTGGAGTTACTCTACTTAGGGTGATTCTTGGGTATCGGATCCTGGTATTCCTAACAGTTTACATCTTTCAAGTTTTTCCAGTACACCTTTGAAGCCTTCTTTAGTTTACAGCTCTCGTCCCAACTATGGAAGAGCAGGCCACATGTCTATTATTGTACCCTACCCAGCATTGTGATTCGCACCTAGTGAACACGTTATAGGTTTAAGTAAACTGAAACAACAACTGTAAAACTTTTCAATTTACTAAGAGCCGTCTTCTCTGATCATTTCACTCCTCAACATATTTCATTAACTTATAATTCCTCCAGAAATCCTAATAGTTGATATAACATTTCTCTCCAATATCCTCTACATGGTGGAATGATAATTGTTAAAGGATCTCCTCTTGTCTCCATTTCTCCAATTGACTGTAGTCTGTCTGATCTGATATCTTTCTTCACTATCTCTTTATCCTTCTGATTAAGCCAGCCCATATGTGTATTTACCTTCATAATCAGCCATACATGATAATCCAAACACTTGACCTTTTGTTTAAATTTCTACCTCTGAGAATTTCCTTCTAGCAACATACTTTTACCTTCATATTTTATCAAAATTGTTGTTCAAACAGTTAGAGGTCAATAAAGGCTCAGAATTTGTATGGTACTGAGTGGATTTCTGATTGGAAGAATACCATAACTACTTACAGTCTCTCATACCTACTTGTGATGTATTTCTCCTGCCTTCTGCTATGCCTGCTTTACCTCATCTGTAAAATTTAGTTGTTTGAAAATAATAGTCATAGTTCCTATAAAACTTTCTTCTCTTTTAGTTTTCCTCCAATAATCATAGAAGCCCAATGGTAATTTTGCCTATGTGGTACTGCTGAATGCCTAGTAGTTGTTATGAATTCAACTTCTTCCGAATTGTTATCATCCAGTTCAATTACATCTTGTTCATGGTCTCCTATAGTAGATCATCGTTGAAACATGTTGGATGTATTTGTTGTATCCTTAATTGCTTCGGTCTTAACGGTTGTTGGTTCTCTGGTTAATGTGCCTTTACCTGATTGATGTGTACTAAGAAAATGACCACATTCTGTATCTGGACATGTTTTTCCAAACTTGGAGGAAATAAAGTTTTCGCATTCACAGTCTACAGCCACACATGGAAGTATTGCTATCAATCTCAACATTTGTTGTACTTGTTATACATGAAAAATGTTGTTACTTTCCTATATTTCTCTATTGTTCCCACTCTTCATTATAATATTTTTTTTAATTTGTAACTGCCCCTTATTTCAATCTAAAATTTCTGTCCTATCATACTTGTGCTAGCCTAAACTGTAATTACCCTTACATGAATCTTTTGTTGCCAAGCTTGTGATCATCCATGTCTCCATTTTTACCCTGATTTTTTTTTTTTTTTTCAGCGAAGTTGGTACTCATGCCTTGCCGTACTAGACCAGTGATAAGTAGCGACTATTCCATCTAAAGTCGAAACGGGGGAGCGAGCGGTAAACAAAATCCACAAGGGACTCGCTGAAAATCTCAATAGACAGTCTGATAGCATAATACCTAGTGTATTATCAAATTCCCACTTTCCATTAACTTACTGAGCCATCTTTAAGCCAGAAACATCCACTGGGAAGAATTGCCCGGGATCTCGTAGCCTGTATATACTGGAGGCTCCGCCGGTATTGAGGGAGGCAATTGCCATCTCACCAGGCTGACCATTCGTTGAATAAATTTATCAACCACGCCTTCAAACAGCCACCACACCATATTTTACGCCAGAATAATGCGAAAACCCTAGACACAGGATATATATTTTCCACTTGAGAAGCGGCGAGAGATTCTGAAGAAAATTCCATCCGATCTAAAAACAATCAAAATCTTTGACGATAAGGAGTATTCCCACGTCCCCCTGACAAATCTTGAAAACCCGCACAGGATAAGGAAAAATCGGGCTGTGACTAAATCCTGAACCTCGACAACACGGCCCATTGTATAACCTTCCCATTATACCACAACCCAATATGCACTATTACCCCCCGCACTTCCGGACACTACCCGACACAGCTAATGCTCAGGCAGAGACAAAATGTCCGTTCACCAAACACACCCCACAGTGAGCCCTACCGTAAGTACCCCCCTCTATCTCATACCACTCCGCTAAATTCTGCGTAAGCCCCGGCCGACCGGATTCACATTTTCCAAACGTTGGTGAACGTTATCGTGATGTAACGAACAGTTAGAGAAAAGCACAACACATATTTCAGATGGCTAGAGTTGAGAATACGGGAGTGAGGATATGTTGCTGATGGAGAGGTAAGTGTGGAAGAGTACGGGCTCGAGGGGTGGTGATTCCTGGGATGGAATGGGATGGAATGGGAGGACTGCTTAGACGGGTCATAAGACGCGCCGCAGCCCGCACACGAGGCGACGCCCCAGAACGCAATTGCCAGTAAGGAGGGAGCTAAAGTTTGGAGGCATCATAATAAAACGCCATTACATTTAATTTGAAGGAGAGAGCGAGGAGCACGGTGTTCTTGTTCTTTTTGGTTAATGTTTAAACTGCCGTCGCTACGATTAACACCATGAACCTCTTCCACAAATTTTCACGAGTGATACCCTGTGACTGCTCCTCCACAATTCCCCTCCTACCCACAACCAATCACAACGAACACACCCATCATACCGCAAAAAATACCATTCCATTTCAATTTCACATAAAAAGGAAAAGAGAGAAAAAAGAAAAAAAGAAAGCGCAGACAGTCAAACGCAAATGCCAATTTTGCCGGCTTTTTGTCGAGGAAAGGAAGAAACCTAACGAACACATTTCCACCCCTCCCAGCCTCCCCCCCTCCGTATCTTCCATTTCTATAATACAACGACATGAGTAGAGTTCCGTTCCGTATACTAAGCCCCGCGAAGACCTAGCGCAGACAGGGGAGAAAAAAGAGTACAATGAATGGAAAAAGGAATAACAGAAAAGAGGAGGAATGCAAAAATACATGAAAGAGAACTGGACCAAAATAATTTTTTTTCCCCACAAATACGGATAGATGAAAACCGAACAAGCGAATAGAAAGATAGTCGATCACCATTAATCATAAGATGATGAGAAACACATCCTCCGGACTCCACCCTGGTAATTCGAACACAACGGGGTTGTATCTATACTACAAGCTCAATATCGCCCTCCTCTACTGCTACGACCGCGATTCCCGCGCTCCCACATTCCGGGACCAGAATTGCGCGCGCGCTGGTACCCACCGTGACCGCGCTCGCCGCCTGAACCCCGACTGGACCTTCCGCCAAAACCGCCACGACCACGTCCCCGGCCACGGGAACCTCTGGGGGCGAAGGACCCGCGCCCGTAGCCGCCGCCACCGCCACCGCCCTCGCCATCATCATCATCGCTTCTGGAACGGTAGGGCCTGCGCTCGTAGTTACCACTACCACCTTCATCGTCGTCGTCGTTCCTAGGACGGAAGGGTTTGCGCTCATAACCGCCAGAGGAATCGTCTCTGGAGTGGAAGGGCTTGCGTTCATAATTACTCCCGTTGTTGCTGTCCCTTGGCCTAAATGGCTTGCGCTCATAGCCCCCGTCGCCCTCGCCGTCTCCATTTTCTTGCGGCCGGAAAGGCTTACGTTCATAGCCACTCCCATTGTTATCGTCCCTCGGTCTGAATGGCTTGCGCTCATAGCCGCCGTCGCCTTCGCCGTCTCCATTTTCTTGCGGCCGGAAAGGCTTACGTTCATAGCCACTCCCATTGTTATCGTCCCTCGGTCTGAATGGCTTGCGCTCATAGCCACCCCCTTCTTCACCACCGCTGGAGCGGTAAGACGGGCGATCACTGAACCCACCCCGACCCCCCCTTCCACTAAAACCGCCTCTTCCACCTCTTCCGCCCCCTCCACCACGACTAGGTCGGTCAGACTCCTCGCTATCAGCCTCGCCGCGAGTTGAGGTTGAGACATGGAACCCGTGATGGGAACCTATGCCCAGCTTCGACGCAAGTACCCGAGAAACTTCCGGAGGTGACGGCAGCCCCCATCCAAGGGTGGCGAGGCGATTCAGAGATTCGGCCAAAACAGGTTTTTTGATACCGCCATAGCAGCCGATAAGTGACATGTAAGTATCCTTCATCGTGTACGGGTCAATTTTTTTGTTGGCTTCCGTAACAGACATCAATATCTCAGCTGCGTGTTTTGGGAGTTCTTGCTCTACTCCCAAGTCGATCCCAGCGGTGACAAGTGAATTGTTGAGTTTCAATGGAAGCTTTCGAAGTTCACTCATAGCATCTGGATATTCCATCCCCGAGAGGAAGAGATAACCTACGCCAGATCTATCCCCTCGAGCAGTACGGCCAATTCTATGAATGTAGGTTTCCTCATTTTTGGGGGCGCCCATCTGGATGACGTGTGTTACACCAGGGAAATCCATCCCGCGCGCCGTAATGTCAGATGAAAGAAGGATTCCGGACCTAGCCCTGCGGAAACTTTCGGCGGTTCTTGTTCGCTGGTATTGAGAGAGACGGGAGTGCATCTCAAATGTCTTAGCCGGATAGAATGGGTTTATGGATCGTCCCTCCTCCTTATCCCCTAGATTGAGGTTTCGGAGGGCTTTAGAGAAGAGCATCACTGGGCGAACAGCCGTAAAGAAGATGATAGCTTTGAATGGCTGAAGGGGTTTTTCGGTTCCTACAGAGTTGTCGACAATCTCGATTTCGCGTTTTAGGAGCTCGACAAGCGCCGGCAGCTGGTTTTCAAGTCCCTTACATCTAACAATGTGTTGTGGGACTTTCTCGTGTGTCGCTGCCTCGCCTTTCTCGACCATCTGTAAGAATTTGTGCCCGTGGCGCATGGTTTTCCTCGCCATCTTCTGGACCTTGTCTGGGATCGTAGCAGAAAACAAGAGTGTTTGCCTAAATTTCCCGGTATTTCCAACGGGCGCGTCTCTATTAGGTAGGAGTTTGATAATATCATCAATTGCTTCGGCGAACCCCTGGTCAAGTAAGTGGTCCGCCTCGTCCAGCACTAGTATCTCGAGATTTTTTGTGCTAATCCCGGCTAGCGGGTCGGACAGAAGGTCATGCAATCTACCGGGAGTAGCAACCAAAATATGGCACCCCACGCTTCTAATATTTGCGAGACTCTCCCTCTTCCCAGAACCACCAACGGCAAGTTGGGTAACGATTTCAGTATTCTGAGTAAGGAACTGGGCATCGACCTTAATTTGCTGCGCCAACTCACGTGTAGGAGATATAATTATCGCACGAACATCCGCATTCGTCTCTCCGTTCCTAGTCCTAAAGTCGATCCTCATGCGAGGCTTAAGAGGGATAGTGGTGGATATTATGCGTTGTATAACCGGTAAAAGGAAGGCAAAAGTCTTTCCTGTACCAGTCTTGGCTTGACCGAACCTGTTGTCCGACAAGTTAACTTGTTAGCAAACAAACCTGGACACAAAATATTGAGAGCAAGACATACACATCATCTCCTCCCAAAGTCTCCAGAATAGTCTTCCTCTGAACTTTTGTCATTTCCTCATATCCCTTTCCTTTTACTATCTTGTCGATAATGACTGGGTCAACCAAACCTCTATCAGCCAGCTGTTGAAAACGAGTGATTGGCTCATCTTTTCTGTAATGATGGGTTACTCCAGGATCGCCTGTGTGATGGATATATTCCCCTGCAGGGGGATCAGGATCTGCTGCCGATTCCTCAACGAATTCCTGCTCCGCCTCGGTATCGTTTTTCAAAAAGGGCGAGACCGAGAAAAATCTATGTTGCGAAGAGGCGGCGGGAGGATTTTTTAGAGAATTGCGTACAATCGTGCGTGTAGGAGTATATGAAGTAAGAGAGCGAATGGAGATGAAAGAAATGCGTGCAATTGAGGAAGAATGATGGCGGAGGGTGGAAGAAAACATAATTGGATCGAGGGGAAAGGATATTTTGCCTTTCTATAAGAAAGGGAACGAAGAGGAGGGAGAGGAATAGCAATTGATTCCTTGTTTGAAGGGGAGTGGGGAGGGATAAAGTGGGAGGGGAGGAAATCTTCCTCCAGTGTTGGATGAGGTTGACGGCAAACAGATGGAGGAGCAGAGATTTCTTTCTTTCGCTATTCTTTTTTTCTTCCCCGGACCCTTGTGGTGGGTTATTATGCTTGGCATCCCACCGGATAATTGTTTCTCCGGATAAGAGATTGTTTCTCAGCAACGATATGATAAAATTAATCATATCATATCCATAATACAGAAGGTGCAAGGAGACATTACCGATTCCCATGGCACCGTGGAAACCCTCGAGTATGATATGATATGTAGCGACACAATAACAATTACGACCCTTTATCTCACAAAACCGGCAGCAGTCTACTCCAGTACTGGTACGGTGTTCGGGCTAGTATCATTACCGTACCTTGTATAGGCAGTCTCCCTTAAAGGATTCAGAAAGAGAATCCTTTCATTTGTCTGTATTTCCTCCAACCTAGGAAACCTGGGTTGGTATTTCCTCCCAGACGCCAGCAGCCACTCTAGGAGTCCAAGCCCTGAGAAGAGTCCCACCGCACAGTACTCGTAGTCGAGAAGGGAACCGCCTAGCCCCTAAGGCGATTTCTAGATTTTTCCAGCCCCCGGACAGGTCCAGTACTGGTTACTTCGGTAGGATTGATCATGATCTCCAGTTAGATCTCAGGATTCCGGTGAATGCACAGCTACCAGAAGTAGTAGGAATGACGGGCCTCTTTGATTCGGGGTCCAGCCATGGACCCATGTATATAAGAGCGGACCTCTTGACTAGCAGGAATGTCAGACTTCAGACAGACGCACAGAGGAAAATATACTGGGTTTAATGGCGACCCTACTGTTTCCCCTTCGCTCTTGGCTATTCCTCTTGACCCTGGCTTCCCAAGACTTGCTGTCTTCGCCCCTCCTTGAGTCTCCCTTTGACTACCGTACAATTCCAGCAGGCCCGCCTCTTCACTATTAAACTACAGCTCATACAAGCTACTGCGACAACCCAACGATAACAGTCTTACGGTAAACTGAACCTATCCATACCATAATGCAAAACAGGAGTTTCTTGGCTGCGCCATACCAGTTGAGTGTCAAGACTCAAGGCTCCCCTCATGGGTCGAAGTTGAACACCAAAGGCGGCAATACAGAATGTCCGGCTTCTGCTCAGCCGCACGAGTACCATAGGATATTGGGGCCATACAGGTATGGCGATTAAAGCTAGGAGGGCTCAGAATTGGTTTTGTCAAATCGCATATGCCATTCTTCCATCTATTTCCGGAAAGGCGCACCATAGTCCCAACACGGCATGCTATTGTAGCAGGGACTTGCGAAACGCCCATATGAAGTATACCTCAGACCAGACCAGTTTTGGTTGTTGAGCCAACGTTGATTCGGCCAGAGCCTCAACCACGGAGCTTTACATTTCGCGTTTCTCCGATAACGAATCTCTTACCCAACCCGCCAGACCTTCACCCTATCACCTTATTCGAATAGCACCAATTTCCTCGAAAACCCAACCGTACTACATCTCATAAAATATGGTTTTGACTATGCCACCAGCATCCTCGAATCTCGAGGTTCCTTCATTAGACAACACACTCGTTCGCAAACGTGGAATCTCTTCCGGAAGAACCCCTACGAATCCAAAGATGGAGGAATTTCTCAAGAGTTGGCGACAAGACGCTTTGAATAAACACCAGTACGATGCCGCTATATACATCGGAGACAAACTGTTAGCTTTGACCGGTATTCACGCCGCTCGCACGCCCCACTACTCTTTTGAAGATATTGCTAATACTGCCCTTGAGTTAAGGGGACCCCAAGGATGCTTTTTGGCTCGCTCAAGTTCACTTCAGCACCGGGCACTATAGTAGGGCTCAGACATTTCTTACTCGTAACGACTTAATCTCTCGATCCACTTCCTGTCGCTACCTCGCTGCCCTGTGTCTAATCAAACAATCCAAATACGACGAAGCTCTCAACATCCTAGGCGACAAGGACCCAACACATCTCTTTTCCGGTTCAACTTCTACTACCAATGGACGACGGCGAGCTGCTGCTGGCGGGCGGAGTAGTAAAGATCGAGAAGAACATGTTGGGAACGTAAAGTTTGAGGCGGCAATGTGCTATTTGAGGGGCTTGGTATATGCTAAGCAGAACTCCTTTGATAAAGCGAAGGAATGCTACAAGCATGCTGTCCTCATTGATGTCAAATGTTTCGAAGCGTTCGATCAGTTGATGAGAAACGCTCTCATGTCACCGGACGAAGAGTGGGCATTCCTGGAATCGCTAGACTTCGAGAGTTTAGGTGCCGATGGGGAAGAACCAGGTGAACAAGCAGAGTTCGTCAAAATGCTCTACACCACCCGGCTGAGCAAGTACAAGAACCCAGCGTACTTCAACAAAGCTACCGAGATACTCTCAGAAACTTATAACCTGGCACAAAACGCCGACATGATACTCTCCCAAGCAGAATTATTGTTCACGCAGTGCAAGTTCAAAGAGTGCTTAGCACTTTGCAAGAAAGTTATCGACGACGACAATTACAATTTTTCGATTTATCCTTTGTATCTGGCATGCCTACACGAGCTAGACGAAAAAAACACCCTTTTCTTAATATCCCACGACATGGCAGACAACTACCCGGAAGAACCAGTAACATGGCTTTCAGTTGGTGTCTATTATCTTACTATTGGTAAAATTGCTGAGTCTAGGCGCTTCTTCTCGAAAGCCTCAATGATGGATCCACACTTTGGACCGGCCTGGATCGGATTCGCGCACACTTTTGCAGCAGAGGGCGAACATGACCAAGCGATATCTGCCTACTCTACTGCCGCTCGACTGTTTCAAGGGACCCACCTGCCCCAGCTTTTCCTCGGTATGCAACACCTCCAACTTAATAACATCACCTTGGCAGACGAGTATCTCAACAACGCGTTTACCCTCTGCAAGTCGGATCCATTACTCCTGAATGAGTTGGGCGTTGTGTTCTACCACAAGGATCACCTCAAAGAATCCGTTCAGCTCTTCACCAAAGCTCTTGACATTGCAGAAGAGATCGAAAGTGATCCCAAAGCATGGATAGCAACAAGAGCAAACCTAGCACATGCTTACAGAAGACTAGAGTTCTTTGATAAAGCATTGGAACAATTCCTTATCGTGAAACGCACCGGAGAGGGCAAAGATTCAAACGTATACAGCGCTATAGGACTGTGTCAAATGCAATTGAGAAGGCCCTGGGAGGCTGTCGTTAGCCTGCACGAGGTATCCCTTCACCTCCCGCGCCCACCCTTTGTATCAACACTAACATGGAAACGTTAGGCGCTGGCTGTGTCACCTCAAGATCCTATAGCAACAGAACTTCTCGAGAAGGCCCTCCAAGAGAACTCATCCTCAAACCTCCTTTTCCAATCATCGGTAATGAGCGCCGACGGCGAAATCATCATCCAAGACGACGAAGAAGTCGAAGCCATCATCAATCAACGACTAAAAGGAAAGTCGAAATCACGTCAACGATACGGAAACGACGGTGAAAGCAGTAGTAGGGCTTTAAGAACAACAAGTAGATCTGTAGGCAGATCCGTGGCGACAGCCGGTGACGCTGGAGGGGGAGGAGGGAGAAAGCGACTCGGTGATGTTACAAGTAATTATCAGGAAGGCATGGAAATCAGTGATGATGACCTGTAATAATTCTTTTATGATTGGTTAGGCGCATTGTTTTTTTCTTCTCTTTTCTTTTCTTTACTCGTATTGGAAGGTTCTGGATTGGTACGTCTGTAGATAATAATTACGGTATTCCAGTATGCTCCAGGGCGAATGGAGCTATGAGGGCAAAATTTTTGTTTATCGAGGGGTTTCTTTTCTTTCCTCTCTTGCCCAAGCCTAATATTATGAGGACCGTGATACAATCCCAAGCAAATGACATTGTGATGAAATTCACTCGATGGGGTTTCCGCCGTCTACCAACTACTCGAGTACGGTAATTCGATCGCCAAGGTTTGGCATTTCGGGTAGACACTTCAGAACCTTGAAATGACAACACGGGCGCCAACCTTAAATCTGACGGTATCACAACTAATCCATCCCCGCCACCGTCACTACCACCCCCACTACGATACCACCACGACTTCCGACATCACATCTGAAAACCAATCCCTTCTCCAAACACCACTGCCACCAAACGCCATGTCAAACGAAGACCTAACAGACGAAATCTCCGCCTTGAACTCAATCTACACACCAGAGACCATCATCCCGTGCTCAACAGCCACGGCCCTCAAAACCTACACCCTAACCCTCCCCACCCAAATCCCACGAAAACTAACCCTCTCCTTCCCGAACACGTACCCGAGCGGCCCGCCGACAATTCACGGGACCAGTAACATCGTTGGCGCCGCTGACTTCGCGCGAGACGTGCTCGGGCGGGTATTCCGTCCGGGTGAGGTGTGTTTGTACGATTTTGTAGAGGGGTTGGTGGAGGCGCTGCAAGCGCAGGGGGGCGTAGCAGCAGCGCCGGTTGAAGAAGAGGTGGCGGTGGCGGTGGAGGGGGGAGAGGGAAGGGGAGAGCAGGAGGAGAAAGGCTCATGGACAATCGCGCCTCCATTGACAGAGAAAAAATCCGTCTTCATCGCAAGAGCCATACACGTTTCCTCCCCTGATCAGGCGAAGACGTACCTTCGCCGTTTGCTGACTGATAAGAAAATTGTGAAGGCTACGCATAACATTTCTGGTTCTCCTCCTCCTTCCCCCGGGACTCGCGCGATCGTACTGACGAGCGCAGCGTACCGTGTTAAGGATCCCCGCAGGAATGTAGCCTACCAGGATAACGACGACGACGGGGAGGCGGCGGCGGGGGGGAGGTTGGCGCACTTATTGCAGGTGATGGATGTTTGGGATGTACTGGTTGTTGTGTCGAGGTGGTATGGTGGGATTAAGCTTGGGCCTGATCGGTTTGCTCCCTTCTCGGGATTAGTGCGTGGAGATGGGGGTGCTAATGTCGTAGGTTTCGGTGTATTAATGCGGTGGCTAGAGAGGCTCTGGTGCTCGGGGGGTGGGTGAAGGAGGAGGGAAAGAAGGTGGGGAAGGGTGGGAAGGGGAAGGGGAAGAGTTAGGACCTGTGGGGTGGTGGTGGCGGTGGTGTGTATGCGGTTTAGAATAATTTAGAGTTACCAGAGCCCCCGTGAGAGTATGTGAAAGCAGAGGTGTATTTGTTAATATGGGGCTCGACTGATAATAAGTGATTGCTTCTATGATAATATGATACTAGCGTTATTGGCCAAATTTCTTATCATAGGCTCACTGGTCCGAAAAGACCCTTTTCACATCACATCCATTCCAACCAAGCTATCACAAACTCCTGTCCTAAGCCCTCCTACACTAGGCATGTGGGTTATTCACAGCTATATCACCCACTACTGTATTTCACAGAAAGAAAAGGAAAAATAGCCAATCAACCTTAATTGATCTCAAAACAACCTCTATCCCAAAGAATCTACAACTTATGAAAGTGGATAATCCGTAGTCTCCCGAACTTCCAGTGTCTCCCTATGATGAACATGCGCCTATATCATTCATAGATTAGCTCCCGAACCCCAACCCCACCCCGTGCGCGCACAAAAAAAAAAGCAGGAGAGGATACCTACAAACGGCAATCCACAATATCCACACGGTACGATCTCTGGCTTATCCACGTTTATAAAAATCCTCGGATGACCCATAGGCCCACCCCCTACCCCTCCCATCAGTCAGTCAGTCAGTCAGTCAGTCAGTCAGTCCCACACAACCAACAGTCAAAAGCGAAAGAAAAAGTAAAAGTAAAAAGCAAGTGAGCGCAAACCACCATCACAAACAACAACTCTCTTCTCCGAAAACCTCACGGGCTGCCGATGGATCAACTCGATAGCAGCGTAAGGCGCCGGCTGCAATTCCATATCAGTGTTCTCGAACAGGGGTCCCACCATGCCCAGCTCCCTTGGTTGCTGTGATCGAGACCACGTGGTCGCGCGGTTCGGGGCCTGCATGCGACGCTCGGCCTCCCCTGCCTCGGCGACCGATTCCTGCGGCGCATCCCGGTCCGCTGTAGTCATGCTGGTGATGTTTGGTGGCCTTGCGATTGTTTGGTGTTGGGTTTGGATCGTGCGGGATTGGAGGTAGAAGAGGGGCCTCGGGAGGTGGGAGAGGCGGAAGCGCGGGAGCATAGTTGGGTTTTCGGGTTGGGGGAGGGGGAGTGGGGAGTGGTGATGGGTTGGGATGGGGGGGGGAGTTTGAGGTTTGGATCTTTGGAGTTTGGTTGCTCGGTTGCCGGATAATTGTTTGGCTGGGCGCTGTTACGTAAGTCGTGTTGCGGGCTCATGGAGTGTCACTCGTGAGATATGCTTCCACTCGAGAGATGGTGAGTTTTGGTGGTGGCGCCTTGAGCAAGGGGTTTTTCACTCCTCCTTCTCTCTTTTTTTTTTACCGCTCACATGAAACAAACGTAAGTAAGCGGCGGTGACTGTTAGTGCAACTAGAGTACCGGTACTTGTACGAGTACAAGTACCTCATGTTGCCGAGTGCTAAGTAAATCACATGATCTAATATTATTCAAATCACCGAAGGATGCTTGACGGAAAGTGAGCTGAATATTCGAAGAATAGACTTGACCCTCCTCCCACCTTGGCACCTCCCGATTCAGCCAAAGTAAAAAAAAAAAAAAAAAAAGAGAGAGGGACAGTACGAGTAGATTACCTACCAAAGTTGTTGGAACAGAATATTACGTGATTTACTTAGCACTCGGCCACATGAGGTACTCGAGTAGAGTGTGGCCTATTTTAGTTACACTTAAGCCTATCCGAAAATACGACTATCGCAGGGCGACCACTCAACCACCACGGGTGATAAATCTCGCATCAGATCCCTCAAAAGTGATACACGATCCCACACCGGACAGCGTAAAAGAATCCCAGAAGCAATTACACCAACAAAAAAAACAAAAAACTAGCACCGTACCGTGCATATCGTCACCTGCTCACCCATTTGCCACCTTCACCTCCACTGTTTGTGCTCACCCACGCTTTCCCAATTTTGGCCCAGGTCCGAAAGGGAACCTACTTCTCCTGATCTTCCAACCCCTCCTTAGCTATCAAGGCTAGCTCTTTCCTTTCCGGGAAGTCCTGAACCTTCTTCTTGAAGAACGAAACTCTGGCCTCCTGTGTCAAATCGATAGCGCCACGAAGCTCCTCTTTTGGCACCAACCAGAGGTCCACCTCTAATCCGTCTTCTATTCCCCTCAAAATAGCTTGGTCAAGAGTCTCCCACCCATGCTTATTGTCCTCCACTTCTGGAAAGAATAGCAAGTCGAGTCCCCACCAGTTCACCCTGCGCCAATGGTTGAGAAATTCGGTGATGCCGCGGACGACCCTCTCGCTGGAGGTCATAACAACGATCTTTGTGATAGCCTTGTTGTCCTTAGACAGGCTGATAGCAAGATCCCGAGCCACCCTTATCGTGTGCTTGACAACATCGAGTTCCGGCCCTAGAAGATGGTCGTCCTTGGGTGGGTCTGGGTCTCTATAAGTTCTGTTGTATCGGGAATTCGGACCGAAGTAGATGGCGCCTATGGGCAAAGCCACAGCGCACTGGACAATGAGGGTATTCCTCCCCTGATGGATTTGCTGATTGGGCGGCGAACTGTGGACGTTACCATAGTCGGGCCGGCCACCTTTGGGATAACGGATGGGGGTGCGAAAGAGCGCCGTTGTAACCTGCGTGCCAGCGTTGTACCGAGTGCAGTCTTGTGAGGAGGCCTTCTCTCGCCTTTCCAGACCGCAAATATCACTCTGGTACAGCCTCCCGGGAAACTGCAATTGTGTGCTGCCATCTGCAAATTTAACGCGGACCCCGTTTGGCGTGGTCCGGTATATGTTCTGGGAAACTTCCAACCTTCTTATATACCCTTCGGGGTTAGGTATCGAGCGGAGACCACTGGCAGGCGGGAGGGTGGCATAGATGTTTGTCGTTATCTTGTCCTCCTCAGGGTAGTTGTGGAATGTGCCCTTTCTAAAACCGCTGGGGGTGGTAGAGCTAGTGGCTTTGGCTTTGGAATTGCCGTGGACTTGACCGCTCTTACCAGAGGCAGTGGTAGAGAATTTTCGTTTGGGTTCCGGGACAGTTTCCTGCTTATCCGAAACGATTAAGGAAGGGCGTCTACCGGCATGACTAGCAGATCTCTGATCCATGTTTGAGTTTAAGGTTTTCGAAAACCAACTCTGTATGTTGTGAAAACAGGAGGGCGCGGGGGAAGGAGAATAAGTGGGGGGCAGAAGAAAAAGAAGGGGTATGATGCGATACGATACGATACGATACGATACGATACGATATCGCTAGCGCTGGCCAGTGTAATGCCCTGAGAACGGATAGGGGGTTCGGAGCCTGCGGCCAGAGTCACAAAGGAAACTATTATCATATCCAGTCTCAACTATGATACTGCTGATTTGCCCTTGAGCCCAGAGGTCTTCAGTGGGGGTAATCCCCATTCTTGAACCTGTTCATGATGGGTGAACGAGAATGTTCTATTATAGGAAAGTGTTGGAATCAACCGGTCAAAATTTCCACGCCTTTGCAAACCACCTGCTCGCCCACCGGCGCCCAAACTCTCCAATCGCTTCCCCTTTCCTCCCCTGCTGCTTTCCTGCCTCAGCGCCTCACATGAGGTTGCAGCGGAACCATCTCAGGCAGAATGATTCTTATAAGCACTCAGCACAGTATCCCTAGCGTAACTCCCACGCGGGATACAAGTGACTGCGCCTGCCACAACCCTCCTCCCTGCAGTAACTCGTAAAGCGCACTAGTATCTTCAGGATAACCCAATATCATCGCCACCCCGACCGTCAATAAATCTCTCACCCGATGGGGACTCCTGCTCCCCTAACATCTACTGGATGAGTAGATGCAGCCTTACGAATCCCACCTACACTTTCCAGGAATGGCGGTGGCAGCGGTCTTGCTCCATTATGGTTGGCAGATATCGCTCGATTTCGCGGGGCATTCTACAAGGTTGACTATGATATCATGGAAATTTTTAAGTGCGCTTTTTTGTATGATATATAAAAGATGGATAAGAGTGGGAGGGGAGCTTAAGTCAGGTGAATTGATTGGAACCCTATTCCCTCCCTTCTCATTTGCTCCTTGTGAGCAGGAAAAAATGTTTACTTGCCGGATTTTTGTGGCCGAAGCGAACGCTAGGAGGGTTGAGTCAAGGTGAATTGAGGTGAACTTTGTTGTGTTTGTTGTTCTGATGGGTTCGATTGAGTTCGTTCAGTTTTGGTCAGAGAAGGCAGACTACTGACTGGTACGATTTACCGTCGTTGCTCAGTTATGCCTTTCCGTCGGTCAGTCGGTCAGTGGGTTGCCTATAGCACTGCGGTTGCAACGACCACCCTATCAAACCTTGATATTTGCCCTACGGCACCATCACGATTGATCACTCGCCTGGGGCGCATGGGGGTTTTGGTTCGTCGCCTTACCTTTCAAACCTCACCGAAAAATATAATAACAGGGAACGGGGCCTTTGTACCGGCAAACTGTTGAAATGTTGAACCTGTTTAAATCAACAAAGCGCCCACTTCACAAGGGACCACCTCTCTCGTCCCCAAAGATGCAGTTCCCTTCTCCTATTTCTTTGTCACCGTCCTAGCCCCCCCCCTCTTACATACTGCATAGTTACTTTTGCTTGCTACAAAACAGTTTCTTGACACCCCTTCCGAACCTTTCTTCCCGCCTTTCATCTAAACACACGAAATAAAAATAAAAAAGAGAATTTGGTCATCAAGCACGCCCTTCCCGCGCACTTGTTTGGTTGCGTTCCTATCCTCATGGAACCTTATTCACGAATCTTCCGCCCGGAGCTCCTGGGCTTTAAAAACCACACGACCGGCTTGAAACCTGGGGATGTCACTTCTTACTGCCCCTCCATGGGGCTATCCTTCACGACATGGCGAGATACTTACGGTAACAGTTTTGTCGACCCAACGTGTATCATCGTAAAAATCCACGGGGCCTTTTCTCTCTCCCAACCCTCCTCTTCTACACCGTCCTCCTCTTCGGTCTCCGCCTCCGCGACTGCGTCTGCTTGTGCTTCCACTCCCTTCACGTCCTGGTCGGCTGCGGACTGGTCACAGAACACGTTGATACCTTCGCGGACAGACACCCAATCGGCATATCCAGCCACCCTCGGTCCCGGGGATGCAAGCACGGCCTTTGGGTTATTCTACGGCCCGGGCTCGCCAAGGAACTCGGCCGGAACTGTTCCTGAAGTTTTCTATGAGCAGTCCAAACCTCATGTTGACCTTTTCGCAGCTGGAATGGTCTTGATGCACCTTCTGCAAACCGTCGTCAATTTCCCCAATCCCTTGAATGGTGGCATCAAAAATGTGGTCTTGGTGACGGACTCGAATTACCTCTTTTCTTGTCTGACGGAGCATGTATATGGTTGGCAGAAGAAGGGGTATCGGAACGCAAAGGGGAAAGAGGTCTCCAATGCTAATGCTGTGAAATGGGTCGAAAGCCTTGTTGAAAATTTCGAAGGGCAGGGCGTTGGCGTGAGGTTTTGGAAGGTTGACAAGAAGGATAACTGGGAAGCTGTTGATCCGGCAAGGCGGGTTTTGGATTTACAGGAAGAATTCAGGAGGAGGTACGGCATGAGAGCCTTATTGAATATTGGGGCTATCTGATTGGGGGTCGTATGATAAGCTCAAAAATAACATAATTTGATGTTGGTGAGTACTTTCCCTCACCTCATTTTTATCTCGGATATTCCCCACTTTCCCACCGCAAAACTCTTAAAGTTCCAATCTCTGCCCACTGACACCATGGGCACTATCGTAGGTTAAAATAATTGTCCCTCTCGTATAGCAATGCTACTTTCTTGCAGTCGCTGGGGATGCCTGTTTTTCTGCCCCTTTTTCTGTCCCTTTTTCTTTCCACCAAAATTTAAGGCACGACATCACTAACACATACGAAATCCAAGATATAAATAGGAAGGAAAGAAATACCCTGACTTCATTCCATTCCCACCTCCCTTCCTCATCCTTGTATATACGGGCACCAATATATTACCCAGTCACGTCATTTGTAGCGAGAAAGGTTGTGGATATCGGCAAAGAGTGTGTACTCATTTCTTATCCAATGAAAATCGCCCTCCATGAGATATTGGGCCCCTCAGAAGGTCTCAAAGTTGCTTTTGTTTCTGTTGGTCCAAATCACAGTACCATAAACCGAGACGGCAATCATGGTACGAAACTGCTGTGTAAGAAAGTCTTCGTCGTTGGTGTGATTCCATTAGGGAAGCCACAATCCGGTATCATACCCGTAGGTTTTATAAAGGCTTCCCAGGTTCTCAGTCTACAACCGTCTTTCGGGCAAGACTTCTCATAGATGAGTAAGTTTCGCAGGTTCCGAGGTTTCCGGAACATAGGCGTCATCAAAGATGACCCCGCGTTTCCGGCACTTGTATTTATGGTGTTGGCCAATCATGTCCTGATGCTCTCAGTAGCATATTTGGATGGGCCAAGGGAACAGAAAGAAAAAGTGTCATAATAATATTATTATCATACAAATATTATATTTCATAAACCCTGTTCATCAACGAAAAGTCAGAGTTAGGGTAAGGGATTTTTGCCAGAGAATGTGGATAACTAACTATTTCTAAAAGTGAATTTGTTTTTTTTTTATACTTTTTTCCTTTCCCAATTTTCCCGCCTCCTCGCGTATGATATGATAAGTTAGTCTAGGTCTCACCGGTGGTTCAGATCTAGGATGTGTACAGTACTTGCACTGTACTACCGGTACTATTCTAGCAGGTTCAGTGCAGTACGAATGGTGTGAGATCTCCTAATAATTACGGATTTTGAATACCGGTATTCGCTGCGTGTGAAGAACCCCTTTTTTATGATATCATAGGTTAATAAAATTTTCATCGCTAGTGGTTAGTGACTATTCCTTCTTCTGTGCAAGTCAGCAATGTGATTTACCACCACCCTCCGAACCGCCAAAATATCCCGAGTACCAGTGCCAATAACACTGCAGTTCGTTTTCCCGGTTCGTGGTTCACGAACTATAAACCGCTTCTTCGAACTGCGGCGAACCGGCGGTGAGACCCCATACCGTAGACGTGCTGCCGTCTGCAAAGTTTTGTCTGGGACTGCGCGCAGCCACTCGTACTGTACATTCTAAGTATAAGTAATCTGCAGGAATCTTGGCACTGTTATTACCTTGGAGGCCGGCGGCGGCGGGTGGTAATCAGTAAGTAAGTTACGGCACAGCACCGTAGCACACACCTTCGAATTTGGATTCCCCTTCGCCTGAATGCATGGAAAATGCGAGAGGGACTGTGGCGGCTGAAAAGGAGGTTCAGGAGTCCAGGGCCATGGCAAATCAGTGTCATAGATCAAGACAAAAGTGCGTGGTCTGCATACCGGTATTGGAGGCGTGGAGTGGGTCTTTACCATGTATTTAAGCCCGGTGGTTTCTACTGTATTCGAGCACTCGTACAGTTGTAACTAAACGGGGGGATCAAAATTAGATTGGCCACACTATTAGGGGGTTTCACACCGATGGTTCAGATCCAGTACCGTATTAGGGAGGTTTTGTTACGATGGTCGTAACTTCAACAGTGCTTAATCTTGGCAATGTTGTGTGTGGCAACGCATGAGATTTTTGTCTGTCATTTTGCTAAGGAGAGTTAACTGCGCAGAAGTACTAGTAGTCCATATGTTGACATCATCATTATCAACAACAAAATAATTTCTAAGAATCATTCAACTTATTCAACTATCGTCCTATCCCTTGATGGATTACCATGAACCAGTTGTCCAAAAACATGTTTTATTTTTTCTAATTGTTATCATTGCCTATCTAAATCATATTAGGCAATTACGACTATGTTTACATGAGGAATCTGAAACTAGGAGCCAGTGATTCTCAGTCTGACAAAATCTGATCAACTATGAACAAACACTTTTCCTCTTAAATACTTGTGGATGGGATAATGTGGATTTTCAAGAGTACCTTCAGTAAGTATATCAGAGCTTATCACATTGAGAAATAAATAGTTCAATGGTTTTTAATGTAAATTAGGTTTTCAAAAGAAGATATAAAGCGGATACTACCATGCCTTCAACTAGAGTGTATATGATGGCGATATGGCTTCCACCTGCTATTGGAGGAGGCTTTTTGCATC